CCGGTCCTCAGCTCCACGTGTCCTGCCGGTCCTCAGCTCCACGTGCCCTGCCAGTCCTCGCAGTCCCACACGTCCTGCCGGTCCGCGCGTCACTTGCGCCTGTCCCTACTTTAAAATCCCTTTGCTCGTCGCCAAGTTGTTGTGTCTCCCAACTGTTTATTGATGTTAACGTGAGTTCCATTTACAAAGTATGGACGGACAACCACACCGCACGGCGGCTACGGGCCGACTGCCTGGCCACGCCCGACAGTGGCGCCACTCGCGGTGCGCCTATGAACTACAACTATAATGTCGAGGCTACGATACAACAAACACCATCCCTTAATTTTTTTACTCAAGATTACGCCGAACAAAATGTGTTGATTGCACTCCTCTGCAACATGTTTGCGGTACATTTTTGTGACAGGGTTGATGTTTGACTAGTACTTTTATTTAGTGCATATATATATATATATATATACATACAAATCGCGGCAAAATGTTAACAAACAGCTGCATCGTTGGGTCTTGATATCACGTGCACACGATGAGGCTTAAAGAAGAAAACACGTACAAGACACAAACAGTATGGGAATACCATCAAAGCGAATGTATTTACACACCGTCCCCGAGCTACATAGACAATTTTATCTTAGTCACAATTTTAGACGCTTCACAGTATCCAATGGGTGTGACAAAGGCATGCTACTTGATGCTTGCACGTTCATAAAAGAATACGCAAGAAGACCAAGTTTCTCAAATCCAGTGCGGAATGTTTTCTACTTAAAATTATATAATTGGCAGCTAAAACCTGAGTACCACATGCAAATGAATGCTCTCATATCAGGGAGAGGAACAGTCGGGGTGAGGAAATGGGCAATCTATCCAAACGGGAAGATTTCCTACGAAATCTAACCCCTCCCGTGCAATAGCGCACTCAGTTCAATGTGATATCCCAGTTTTGACTTTGAATTATAGTGGCTTGGGCGGGGCACAGTCCGCGCTGCGGTTGAGTAGTTTGAGTCTCCAGATATTTGTATATGACGTCCTGAGGTAATAATTCGTAGGAATGAGACGTTCATATCGTAATTGGTTCATCCATTCAGGAGTTCATAACATCCACGGTTCACAATGTCCACAGTACTCAATGTTCACATTTAATGATGTTCACTGCACATCATGCTCAGAGTTCACAATGCGCACAGTTCATAATATCCACAGCTCATAATGGTCACAATGTTCAGGCAATAATGTTCACAGATAGGCCCGCGTACGTCCGCGAGCGGGATAAGTTCCTGATGCGAGAGGCGGTACAAAGTTATGTGACGTCATTTCCTCGGATTTGGTTCACAGTTCATCACCATCGTAAAGCAAATGGTTTGCAGCCGACCGTGAATCCCGAATCCCGATTCAGAATCAATTAGACTGGAAAGAGACCGACTCTGAATAAGAGGACGGAATCAAAATCGACTGAAATATACCTATTTTGCGTGGGGTACATCAAAACCAGTCCTACATGAATAACGCCGACCCTGCATGAAACCGCCAGCCGTGTCCGCGGCGGCTGTACGTAGGCAGTCACGTGTCAGGCGGTACTTGGCGGAACTGGCGTGCATCAAGCAAGAGCTTTGTGGTGTGGACCCGAGCCGCAATAGTTCGGCGTGTATTCACTCAACCATAAGGGGGGAGGGGGGGGGGGGGTCTGAGTTATGGTAGCTGTACCATTTGCACGGTTGCAACTTTGAAAGCCACAGTTATGCGAACAAAGTTTTTCCGCCTAGCTAGTGAAGTAAGTGGTTCGAACGGCGTGGAGCCATGAAACATGCAAGAAAGGTACGCAGAAACCATTTTCACAGTGGTTGAAAGGCTCAGCAATATTCACTCGATTCTCTTGTCCGTATATCTATATTCAATTGCTTTCTTTCTATGCTTCATACATCCTGTTCCATAACGAGTCTTACTTATGCGTACGTTGTAGAGGTGAGATGCCAGCAATATTTGCGGCAAGGCAGAGAGCACTGCCAGCACTAGGTTCCCTCTGTCCTTTCCCCACCCTGTGACAGGGGGTTGCATTGGTACTAAAAGCCGCTACTTTACGAAAAGGTTAAAAACCAGGGTCGGGTCTCTGCCTGCCTACAGTCTGACCTTTGCCTAAGCTCAGCACCAGTCGTGCTATCGCACAGAACAGGTATGTAGGTGCGCATTAACCGCATGGCGTTGAAGTCGTTCGATGGAAGTTTCAACAGAAACCAGCTTAATATGCATAATGACGTTGGCTGGCTCTTATGAGCGACCATTTTCGGCGGACCATACGCTGGTTAGTTTCCCTTTCTGCCCACAATGTCCTTTAGTGGCAGCAACCTCGACAAAAGCAGCCCATTTCCGTCGTGGATTGAAGGGCTTCACAAGTTCTACGTTGGCCACGTGTGCGACTCGGACACCCATTTCGAACAGCATGATTGTCATGAAGCTCACATCAACAAATCACGCAGGTATAATCCGGTAAAACACGCAGTGCATCGACTCTAGGTGTCTTCAACTTCTCTCTTCGCGTCTGTCTGATGTTCATCCCCAGCCTCTCCGAAAAAGGCATAGAAACGAAACCATAATGAAAACAATGCATCGGAATGCATCGTTTCCACGTGAAATTACTATCGAAGGTGCATTAGTGGACAATGAAAGGACCACAGGCCGACGACACTGCCCGCGTGCTGTTTCAGATGGCACGCTCAAGAGTAGGGTCTGAGGCTCCGATATCGCCAGCTTTTGGAGATTGTGCGCTTCTTCGTCCGATGAAGGTGTCTCTATTACACCGAGTCATACGACGGACGCCACCAAAACCAGATGCACATACAAATGGAGTGAAAGGGGGGGGGGGGGGTCACTTTAGGCCCGTACTCGGAGGAGGTAGCCTTTATCGGGACAGAAGACGCGGGATTTGCTCGTTCGTTTAACTGCTAACTTAAGTGCAAAAAAGGAATAAAATGTGCCTTATTAAGATCGCCTTTCGGTGTGTTCTGCTAGCGGAGCACAAAAATGGCAGTCAAAGTTAAGAAGTCGCACCACATTTCTTCCAACACAGATTTATGCCATGCTATCAAACATTCACCTTGACTGCTGCTGCTGCTGACACAGTAAACATGCGAGCCGGCATATCGAGAATCTGTCTGGCGCGTCAGTATCCGCCGGGCCGGTGTGTCTGCCCACCCCGGAACACCTGGTCACCTCGGGTCAGGATCCACAGATCGGAGCTCGTGCGCCGTCCGCCGCGGGCCGCACACCATGTCACCTCGGGTCAGGATCCACAGATCGGAGCTCGTGCGCCGTCCGCCGCGGGCCGCACACCGGGTCACCTCGGGTCAGTGTCCGTAGGTCGGAGCTCGTGCGCCGTCCGCCGCGGGCCGCACACCGGGTCACCTCGGGTCAGTGTCCGTAGGTCGGAGCTCGTGCGCCGTCCGCCGCGGGCCGCACACCGGGTCACCTCGGGTCAGTGTCCGTAGGTCGGAGCTCGTGCGCCGACCGCCGCGGGCCGCACACCGGGTCACCTAGGGTCAGTGTCCGTAGGTCGGAGCTCGTACACCGACCGCCGCGGGCCGCACACCGGGTCACCTCGGGTCAGTGTCCGTAGGTCGGAGCTCGTACACCGACCGCCGCGGGCCGCACACCGGGTCACCTCGGGTCAGTGTCCGTAGGTCGGAGCTCGTACACCGACCGCCGCGGGCCGCACACCGGGTCACCTCGGGTCAGTGTCCGTAGGTCGGAGCTCGTGCACCGACCGCCGCGGGCCGCACACCAGGTCACCTCGGGTCGGTGTCCGTAGATCGGAGCTCGCGCTCCGACCACCGGCGGTCGCCACGTTGGCCGACCGTTGCTGGCCGTCTCGCGGCGAGTTGGATGGCGCGTCGCCGGTAACTTTGACCTCGCCGGGCGGCCGGTGTGGGACAGACGGTTCCAGGGGTGTCGAGCCGTGTCCGCCCAGATAAAGGAGTGGCCCAGCCAATTGAAACGCCGTGACCTGCCAGCGGTCGGCCCGCCGACATGCTGGCAGGGCGGCGGGTTGACCGGCTGCACCAGCCGGTCAACAAATGAAACTACATCACCACTGGATGTGGTGATGTAGTTTCAGTTTTTAGTAAAGCCTCACCGCATCTCAAAGTACTTAAGGTGAGTTACAAAGGAAAACCTCGTTAGACCATCCCCAAGATATGCAGATGCAGCAAGGGCGGGGGGGGGGGGAGACACAGAATGAAGTAATGCTGGGCTTGGCTGCACCATGGCTCCACTCGGTTGTTTTCCTTGACGTGACGCAGCCTCGTGCCATGGTGCGAGCGACGCCTCCGCCGCCTGATGCTCGGTCATCGCCGACAGCTGACCGTGTCCGCAGCGGCGCCGGCGTCTCCGGGCGCCGCCCCGCGCTCGGCCGGCAAACGGGGACGACGCCGGCCCGCTGTGCCGGGCCGCGCTCGCGACCGGCCGCCGCGGCTGCCCCGTCACGCGAGACGGGCTGGGCGGCTAAACAGCCACGACGGCTGATTAAACGGACAGGAGCGGCCGGTGGGAAGGGAGCGTCATGGCCTGCTTGTGGGCGGCGCCCTCCGATCGCGCGCGGTGTTACCGCCGGCTGGCACGCGGCGTCAGCTGTGAATGGCTTGTTGATCGCTCTCGGCCCGGACTCTCACCCGGGCCTGGCGGCGGACGGAGGTCACACGGGTCACGGTGCACCCTCCCCCCGACCGACCCCGGTGGACGTGCCCCGCCGATGTGCCCCACCCCCACCCCCGGCGGCGGGGAGGGACCGCTGGCGAGCGGCGGCCGACCCGTACCTGGCGGCCCTCCGCTCCGCCGCCGCCGCCGCCGGCGCGGCGTTGTCCAACGCCTACGGGGCCGCTATCCAGGAAGGGAATAGGAGGCCATCGCGGCTCTTGAAAACGTGTAATGTGCCGCGAGGTCACCCTACAACTGTCCCGGGGAGCAACAGTTTTTGAGAAAGCTTCATTCAAGAAATTATCCGTCGCCACCGACTTACTTGTTTTATTTGCTCATCATGCACTGTGCTTACACGACAGTTATTCCGCATCACCGCGCCCGGCGCCCACATCTCAATTTCTGTAAATAAAGTGTGGCTCGCTCTTAACTACTGGCATAATTTTAAGTGGAAAACTGCTCTGGACAGCACAATTCTCTGTTTAGTGAATATGACCCCGCAATTGATTGAGTTGATGTTGAAGGTATGTTTTGATTAGATGCATACAATGTGCAGCATACAATAACCTAGGTTAGGTTACATTTGTAGTAGCTGTTGGTTTGAATGATGCATACGCTAATAACATATGAGCACACAAACGAGACATCTTTGGAGTGTTCATTTTCAGCTCGTCCAAGACCTGCGAAAACAGTCGCCCGGCTTATCATTTACCACATCTGATTGACGAGCAAAGGTCTCTGACAGCTGCAGTCTTAAGTCAAAAACATTCTTCCTTGGAAACGCCTTGTGACGCGCTGTCGAACAACTTATTACAAAGGCTCATCAGTTGCATATTCTCGATTTGTATTGCACGTCGTGTCTTCATCTTTGGGGTAATACTTGACAGTCACAGGCGATACACAGCACAAACAGCAAACGAGCCATGAGAGTCCATCCCTCTTCTCAAACCGCGACGAACATTGAGCAATGACTCACGACCATATGATGCAGTGCGTTCAGCGTCCGGTGTTCTGCACCGAGACAGCGCCCGTGTCGGACGTCTCAGAGACGCCATCGACCGTCTCCGTGCGCTGGTTGCTGGCGTTGGCCACGCTCACGCTGCTGCCACTGCCGTGCACGCTGCCGTCGGCGCTGGACGTGACGGACGTGACGCGGGTGAAGCCGTTGACGCCTTCGGACGTGCCGGTCGTCACCGAGCCGTCGGCGGAGCCGGACGCCGCGCCGCCGGGCAGCAGCGCCGGCTTGAACAGCGACGGCCGCTGGAACAGACCGCCGACCGGCAGCAGCACGGCGCCGTTGCTGTCCTGCACCGAGACGGCGTTCGTGTCGGAGGTCCGCTGCACGCCCAGCACGCTCTCGGAGCGGCGCGCGTCGGCGTTGGCCGTGTTGGTGCTGCTGCTGCCCAGACCGTTGGCCTGGCCGCGAACGCTGGAGACGGCCGAGTCGATCTGGTCTCGTCCGAACGCCGTCTCCGAGACGCCGGAGGTGACGGAGCCGTCAGCCTGGCCGGAGGCGTCGCCGCCGACGAACACTGGACGGAACAGCTGCGGCCGCTTGAAGAGGCGCCTACCGTCGGCCGCCGACAAGACGGCGAGCGTGGCCAGCACGGCGAAATACTTCATGGCTGAGAAAGGAGGGACGCCAGTGTTACTGGATACATGGCCGAGCCGTTACGTATACAACCAGTGGAGCTCCGAATGGCGATTTAGCATTTTTGCACGAGTTTCGAGCCCTGTACTTTTTGTAACGCACCATGCTCACCTTAAATGCAAGTATTGTAATAAAATAGCTAATCTAACGCTGGGACAGATGAAGTGAACTCAATACGACTACCAGCTAAATTCGAGAGAAGAAGCTATGCATACCTGATTCTTTGTGTTGAGAGTCACAACACTGTTGATGGCGCCGGTGGGCCGGAGCGTGTGATGGTGTTACGTTGCATGCCGCTGTTTATATGCAGACCGGTCGGCTGCAGGTATTGGGGCATGACGCGACGGGCGCCCCAAGCACCAGAATTGCACAGTCAAGCGGTTGCCTTGCAGAAATCCCTCGCACGGAGGTGTGGCGGTTTCTCAGCCGTATTGAATTCTAGAGGCCAGACGAGCCGCTTGGTATTGCCGTGCTGGAAAAAACCCAGAGCAGTGCGCTTTTACGCTATACGTGGCTACAGGAAAAACCCACACATTTCTCATGTAATCTACGTCTGCGGAACTTCACTTCCACTTGGTTAGCACATGTATGTGCTAGTGACCAGAAGCACTCTGACGCAGGTAGCGGGCTGACCCGCAGTCGGTAGCCAGCAGGTAGCGGGCTGACCCGCAGTCGGTAGCCAGCAGGTAACGGGCTGACCCGCAGTCGGTAGCCAGCAGGTGACGGGCTGACCCGCAGTCGGTAGCCAGCAGGTAGTACCCGAGTCGGTAGCCAGCAGGTGACGGGCTGACCCGCAGTCGTAGCCAGCAGGGTAAGCGGGCTGACCCGCAGTCGGTAGCCAGCAGGTGACGGGCTGACCCGCAGTCTGTAGCCACAGGTAAGCGGGCTGACCCGCAGTCCGGTAGCCAGCAGGTAGCGGGCTGACCCGCAGTCGGTAGCCAGCCGCATCGCCGGGACTTGTTGGCCAATCGGAAAACTGTAGGTCTGGCGGCGAAAAATGAGGGAGATCCCAGCCCGCAACTGTCCATCAGAGGCCCTCTTGCACCGATTGAGAGCCCTGAGGGCAATGAGGGCCCGCCAATTGATCTGCCGACCCCCAAATCTCGAACAGTCCGCCCCGTGGCGGCCTAGGGCCCATTTCCAAAGCCGGGACCGTCCTGGGCCCGCCATTGTCAGTCAGAGGACCATTTGCATTGGTCGCGCTCCCTGAGGCAATGAGGGACCGTTGCGTTGGTCAGGGGGGCACAGTACGCCTAACAGAGGACCCTATGTTGGCGAGGGCACGGGGTCGGCCATGGTTCCGTGTTCTGAATAGGGGCAGGAAAGTGACCCCGAATGTCAGGGGGTCTCTTAAGTTGACCGGGCCCGCTGAAACCGACAGGAGATGAAAATGAAAATGAAAATGAAAGGGTTCATAGTGAGACAGTGAAAGGGCCCTGTGTCAAACGTGGGCCCAAGAACGAACGTGGCCCCGAACCTCCACTCCATTTCGGGCAGAGACCTAATAAATCGAACACGATTCATCTCCCAATTATTGGACCCCCTGCGTCGGCAAGCATCTTTTGACATCAATGAGGGCCGTTGCGTCGATACGAGACCAACTTTTCCGGTCTGAGGACCTTCCGCGTCATGGAGGGGACCAATGCATGATGCATCACTCCCCGGCTTTCGTCTGACCAGGAGACACCGGCCATCGTGTCTCCAGAACAGTGCCCGGCAACGACCCCGGGTGGCAGGTTGAACGGAGATCCTCCTCAACCGCTGACCAGGAAAGGCAATGGGGCCCCTTAGTGGCTTACTTACGGGGCCCCGTGTCCACGAAAGGTAAGGGTCCCCTTATTGTTCAATCCACTGGGACCCTTAATGAACGCATTCGTCGGCATGATGATGTCAAATGAAGAAAGCTGGGGCCCCTGGAAATAAAATGGGCCAAATCAGCTGATTTTTGGGGGTGCCTTTTCACCGGGTGCCCTTCATCAAGCTGTGTGCCGCCCCTCCCCTTCTTACCAAAACTTTGGCCTCTCCCCTGGTATCAGAGAGAGCTTGTGGGCCTTGAGATAGGCTCCTCTCGGGCTTAAGTGTTTAGATGGACCCTCCCCGGGCCAGAGATACCCACTTTCTCTGTCAAAGACGTGGCATATTATAATTTAAGAAGGGCCCTTCTTGAGTCTACGATGGGCCTTATCCAAACCTGACAGGACCCTTCCCACGCCCACGATGGGCCCCACCCAGACCTGCGATGGACCCCTTCTGAGTTTACCGTGGACCTGTCCAGATCAGAGACGGCCCCTTTTGAGTCTACAATCGGCCCTTTCCAGACCGGAGAAGGGTACTTCCCGCACCTGAAACTGTTAAAGAGATTTCCTGCCTTGAAATCGATCCTTTACAGACCTGAGATGTGCTGTCTGCGTTGAATTGGATGCCACACGATAAATGAATCTCTTCCACAAATCCGCCAGGGTCCTAATTTGGACCACCTGACATATGGGGAAAGATAGTTTTGGTTCTCACCTCATACATGGGGCTAGTTTGCCTCGCGAGTACACCACCACTGGCTCCCTGAGCCTTCAATAGGCCCACTCTAGACCAGAGATGGTGGAGACGAGCCGTTTGTGAATTTATGATGGACCCTCTCCAGACTTGAGAGGGCTTTGAGCCTACGATGGGCCCCTTTCCCGACCTGAGACGGGCCCTTTTGAGCTCCCAATGAACCGTTTCCAGGCCAGAGAGGGCCCTTCCGTGCCTGGAAGTGGTGTGAATGTTTCCGTCTTGAAGTGGGCTAATTTCAGCCTGAGATGGGCCCTACGCGGACACGAAACGATCCCCTTTTGAGCTTAAAATGGGCCCTTTCCGGGCCAGACATGGACCATCTGCGCTTGCTTTGGTAACACAGTAAGCAAGTACTAGGGGACCCGAGGGTCCCTCCTACGCCACCTCAAATAATGGGGGGGGGGCAAATATATATTTTATCCCACCCCAAAAGATGGGGGCATTTTGCCCCCCCCCCCCCTCCGGATACACCACCACTGTCCCGGGGTTTTCCAACAGCGTTCGCAGCTGGCGTTAACTGTCAACTTCCAGTAGTCGCGAACGTCTGGGAACCAACGAGCGTGCGTGGGATTTCCACCTGGCAGGCATTGAGCGAGCGTTTCTGCAGCCAGGAGTACTGTCTGAGTCATAGGCGTAACTACACACAGCCACCGTCTGCATATAAAACAGCAGTCTGCACTGCCAAGCCATCACACACCTCTGGCACCCAGCCGCATCAACGACGGTAGCACCTGCTTGCAGAATATCAGGTATGTATGACTCCCCATTCCCAACAGATTAACACCTACATATGCAGCTAAAGGGTGAGGTCTCCGATCATTGCAGCTGCATCACGTCAAATCAACCTCTTTGGATGTTTCGTTCATACACGACGTGTACGTGGTGTGGTATTACAGGTGCATGTTTCAAGTTGCACAACTTGCTGCCCGCAGTTAGAATTGTGTACATCGCCATTCGGAGCCTCACTGGTTGCATACGCAACGCATCGGCCTGGTATGCATTAAAACTGGCGTCCCTCCTTTCTCAGCCATGAAGTATTTCGCCGTGCTGGCCACGCTCGCCGTCCTGTCGGCGGCCGACGGCAGGCGCCTCTTCAAGCGGCCGCAGCTGTTCCGTCCAGTGCTCGTCGGCGGCGACGCCTCCGGCCAAGCCGACGGCTCCGTCACCTCCGGCGTCTCGGAGACGGCGTTCGGACGAGACCAGATCGACTCGGCCGTCTCCAGCGTCCGCGGCCAGGCCAACGGTCTGGGCAGCAGCAGCACCAACACGGCCAACGCCGACACGCGTCACTCCGAGAGCGTGCTGGGCGTGCAGCGGACCTCCGACACGAACGCCGTCTCGGTGCAGGACAGCAACGGGGCCGTGCTGCTGCCGGTCGGCGGTCTGTTCCAGCGGCCGTCGCTGTTCAAGCCGGCGCTGCTGCTCGGCGGCGCGGCGTCCGGCTCCGCCGACGGCTCGGTGACGACCGGCACGTCCGAAGGCGTCAACGGCTTCACCCGCGTCACGTCCGTCACGTCCAGCGCCGACGGCAGCGTGCACGGCAGTGGCAGCAGCGTGAGCGTGGCCAACGCCAGCAACCAGCGCACGGAGACGGTCGATGGCGTCTCTGAGTCGTCCGACACGGGCGCCGTCTCGTTGCAGAACACCCGCCGCTGAACGCTTTGCACATTACTGATACCTGCTACTGTGTAGTGCCAGTCACGTTTCGACAGCCGCGTTATGCTTTAAGTCATGCATCAGGTGCATTGTTTGTAGCTGCATAGTATTATCCCAAGGTGAAATCGTCGAACGAATACAAGGAGTCGGTTTCGGTTTATGCTTGTTCATCATGTCACACAATCTGAGAGCATGACATGACGCTCTCGTGCTCGGCTGACACCATTCTGATGAAACGTGGCTTAAGGGACCGCATCCGCCGAGTGATTTACTACCACCCGCGTTGCTGTGAATCATGTAGTTTTGCTAGTGTATAATCGCGGCGGCAGACAGACCTGCGCGTTAGCAAATCCTCAACGAGATATCAGTCAGACAGATGAAGTGATTCATCGGCCATGAGTCGATTGATGCCGCCCATGTTGTGCGATGCATAGTTCGCCTGGTAATGGCGTCCTCCACATGGCAAATGATGCTGTGCTAGCACAACATAAGGCTGCGGGCACTTGAGGACTGAGACGTGTCATATTCCGACATACATGTCGTAAAGGTGTGAGGGGGGGGGGGGCAGGGGGGCTTAGGCGGCTCGTGGCGGGAAGTTAAAAGGCAGCAAAATGAAATATCACTGAATTCCGGTGTGATCACCAAGGAAAAGTCAGGCTGCGCCCCCAAAACCCTTTCACAGCGGTATCACTTTGATTCTTCCGCAGGACTGGCTGAGCTGCTGACTTGAGCCACCTCAGTGCATTTGAGGAAAAAAGCGGGAATACTGAGCCAATGAAAAGCAGCAAGTGTCAGGACTTTTCGATCACTAGGTACCTAAAAACATCACTATCAATAGCATCACCATAGAGATCACTCGTAAACATGAACTCAATGTTGGAACCGCTCAAATATCATTCTGAATTTTTATTCTGATATCATGGACGCAAATCAAAGTGGTCAAAGTCCGAGGAGAAATCAGGACTTGAAGGAGGGTCAAGTCAACTTTGTTGGCTCCGACACCCAACCGAATTCAAGCAGTCATATCCCTGTCCTTACAAACACAAACATGCCCGTGATGCGGCACACCGCATTGCTTGGCTACGCGGCCAACATTATGCGCAAGCTGCCATGCAACAGGCCGTGACCAACGAGGGTGCAGCCAACATGAGGCTAGCAGGACAGAAGCGCTTGTAAAACCCTTTTAAGAACATTGCGTTGGTGAATATCAGCATGCCATGACGTCGCCACGGCTGTTTTAAAGGGAGTTTTCCAAGTTTATATGGAGTTTTTAACTGAAAAAGCCATTTTGAAGATTATTTGATGCGGTTCACATCCCTGCTCTCCTTTAGACCTAAAGCCCTCCAGTTTCCGAGCTACACGCCCGCAAAGCTGTGCAGGCCATTTCGTGCAGACTATTTCAAGGCCATTCAAGCATATGTGACGCCATAGCAACGTTATTCTAAGCCTACCAACCCACAGGTCAGGCGTTGTTCATGGCCAGGAAGAATATTATGGTCCAGCCATCCGTGGGCACGATTTCCAAATATTTTGGACGTCAATTGCCCTCAATCAATGCTGAGCAGGGGGTGCAATCTTCAATCACGAATCACGTTTTTGTTGTTTGGATCGAAGCCCTTTCGGCCAGAATCGATCATTTTAGAGCAATGGGCTGAAAGAGAATGTATAACGGAGGGGCAGGACTACATGCGCCTGGAGGCCAAGCGCCGAGCTTTAGCCGGCGTGGAGACCTCTCCGCGGGGCGTGTGCTGGCGCCCGATCGGGGTCCCCTCCACGAGGTCTCTCGGCCCACTCGCGGCTGACGCATGCAGCCGACACGACGGGGCGTCGACATGATGTACGATAAAGCTAGAAAGAGAAGAGGGTTGGATAATCACGTTTTGTGCTACATAACATTAAGAGTTGGACATGGTTTCTTACCTTGCGGTGATTACAGATATAATACTTGGTATCGTCTAACTTACGAATAATACCCTAGCCGAGTATGTGAATACAAGTAAACATATTAAACTCACGGATAAAAATATAAAAAAGCACCACGAGAAAGGGCCAAAACACGAGTGCATAACGATATTTGGCTCAGCAAATACTTCCACAACGGCCATTGCCATCCATAGGGGAGTTTAAGGTACTGCAAATGATAGGGTGGCAATTACGCGGGGCTAAGTTGACAGCACCTCGATGCCAACTACTAAATATATAAGTTACTAAACACAATAATATAATTACGTGGCCAAATTGTACTGTTGACAGCAATCTTTTCCACTTTACGGAATACTTATAATTACAGGTGAGTTTACGTCAAATCTGATGCCTGCTTCAACATCTACATATGTGGAGCATTCCCTTTCAGACCATAATTACTTGGACGTAGACGGGGCGGGGGCGCAGCAAATGTTGCCCTATGAGCGCGGGGAGGGGGAGGGGGGGGGGTGGGGGGTGGGGTGGGGTGGGGTGGTAGAGCTCGGTTAACGCGCATCACACCGATTTCTAACTTTTTGTCGGTAGCCATCCATGGTGAAAAAAGACATCCAGGCCTAAGGGGTGGGAGCGGCACCCATGCCATTCGCTGTGCCCTGTATGGCAGAACAGACCCACGGAGTCACGCACCACGCGTGCTAGCCATGGTTAGCAGCAGGCTGCACGAGAGGCCGGTGGGTGAAGTGTCTGCAACGCTAGCTGACCTGCTGACACCGCTGGATCAGTGGGTCACGTCCAGTCCTCCGCGTGGTGGTGGTGGTGGGAAGAAGGAACTGCACAGCCATGCGTCAGTCACTTCATCTCTCTTCTGATGCGCAGTGGAGGTCGCATTTGCCCAATAAAAGCTCAGCTCACCGTCCCCTGTCTCCTATTCTCGTCCTCCGAACGCGCTCTATCCAGTTGAAAGTTGTCTATTTAAGTTATCGCTTTCTCTGTACAACAAGGCTCCCACACGAGTATAAAACTAACAAACAAAGCAGTCGTCACAGCATATCACGTTAGCCGGTGTGAGCTACAACACAACATGGGAGCAGCGACCACGCCCACTTACGCGACCGGTGGTCCTCCAACCCAAACCCATGACATCACAACCCGACGCGTCAAACACCAATCAGCACCTCTCCAGCGCTCCCGCAGCACCTACCAGCAGCGTAAGTGCACTTAGCATCAACAGCAGAGACTCGATCCACTGGGAAGACCTCAAAGTGTCACCATGAGCGGCAGGCGCACGTACCGTGGGTCCAGGATTCCCTTACCCAGCCATCCAGGCGCTGCTAGAAGCCCCGAACATCACTCGCAAAGCGCCAGTATGCAGACACCGTCATCGCATCCAGCCATCATGATGCGCGACTGCAACGACAGGTCAGCATCGCCCTGGTCTGACCCACGTCACCCCACAGAGCGGCTTCCCTCGAGAGGCCGGACGGCATTCTGACGTCACTGGAGCGACACGTCATGGCAGTGTAGAGACGTCACCACCGTCAGAACAGCGGCCGCCGATGTCAGTGGCCTGACCTCGTCAGCCTGGCGGGCAGTGTCGAGGTCACACCATCGCCAAACCGGCGGCGGACATCCGCCTTCTAACGGCAGCGGCCGGCGCTCCCGCTCCCGCTCGCGCTCCCCGAGCGGCGCCGACATCGGCCGCGCCGGCGGCGGGCGTCAGTGCTCCGACATGAGCAGGCTCACGATGGTGGCGATCACGCGGCGGCTGCGCGGGCAGGCGGCCAGATCCAGCGCCGGCGTCTCGATCTTCTCGGCCAGCAGCCGGTCCAGCTCGCCGCGCAGCTCCTTCAGCAGCGCCGCGATCTGCCGGTGACAGCGCACAGCACGGCGTCGGACGGCGTCACACACCAGTGCTGCCACTTGGCCCGCGATGTCGCCAGCATCAGCGCCAGACGTATCCGCTCTTACGCGGCAGCGTCGGCAGGCTGGCCGCGGTGCCGTCCGCCTGCATTGTCACGCAGTCTAGAGGCCGGCACGAGCCTCGCGAACACATTGCTTTCAGCCACCGCGCACGGCGTACCTGACGGCACGACGGTACAGCCCAGGGCTGTCAGCACTGGCGACAAATCTCCAGATTGGCGATTTTCACCAGAACACTTTGCGAGGAAATCAACAGTCGGTGTTGATAACGTATAGTGTATCGTCTAACAGTATTAACCATTTTAATTCCAACAGAACACCTGGCTTTGGTAACCTGAGCCTTATAATGCATGGTGGGTGGGAAGTGCTTGTTGCCTTCGGCCTAAGCCCACAGCTCAGTAGCGCGACTCTCACTCAACGAATAACTGTGCATTCGGCTTTTGCGTCAGACGGGACCGTGGACCCATGTCTTTCGTGCCTATAACGCTACGGAGGGTGCCCGTGCCAGGCATGCCCTCTATGCCCAGATGACAGCAAATCCCTGCATAATGGTCACGCCAAACAGTCCGCTTTCTCTGGACCCGAGGTGCCATGGAACACAAGTTCTCGCGCCACTACGAGGAGCTGCTGCCGAAACAGCTTCCGGTGCAACTGCTCATATTTCATAAATGGCAACACATTAGCGAATACTGTTGCAGCTTTTAATGCCTGAAATGCATGTTTTAACGCAGCAGATAACTTTAGGAACGAAAAACGTGAAATTTGTGGTTCTTCGCCAACGTAACGATACAACTGGCGATTTCTTTACGAACATGGCGACAATGACACTTGACCTTGGCAACCCCGTTGTGGCCACGGCTCTGGCTCAGATACTGTCCTGACCCACATGCTGTCCTCATGGAGCGAACTGGGCGAGCTTGCCGGCACGCTAGCTGTTACTTGCCACTTCATGTCATGAGAGCATGCATCGGAGCCGTGACCCGAGCTGATCACCTCGCTCAAACCCGGAGGTCAGTACGACGCATGCCCACGAGTGACATGAAGGCCGGGGACCGTCGGGATCACGCGAGCATCCCCTCCCCCTCCCCCTGAGACTCCGCGACACGCTGACGTCGCCCAACACACCTACCCCCCTCCCCCCATCCACGGCATCCCAGCCCGGTCCCCCTCCCCCTGAGACTCCGCGACACGCTGACGTCGCCCAACACACCTGCCCCCCTTCCCCCCATCCACGGCATCCCAGCCCGGTCCCCCTCCCCCTCCCCCTGAGACTCCGCGACACGCTGACGTAGCCCAACACACCTACCCCCCCCCCCCATCCACGGCATCCCAGCCCGGCCCCCCTCCCCCTCCCCCTGAGACTCCGCGACACGCTGATGTCACCCAACACACCTACCCCCACCATCCACGGCGTTCTGGCCCGGTCACCCTCCCCCTGAGACTCCGCGACACGCTGATGTCACCCAACACACCTACCCCCCCCCCCATCCACGGCATCCCAGCCCGGTCCCCCTCCCCCCCCCCCCCGAGACTCCGCGACACGCTGATGTCACCCAACACACCTACCCCCACCATCCACGGCGTTCTGGCCCGGTCACCCTCCCCCTGAGACTCCGTGACATGCTGATGTCACCCAACACACCTACCCCCCGCCATCCACGGCGTTCTGGCCCGGTCACCCTCCCCCTGAGACTCCGTGACACGCTGTCACCCGACACACCTACCCCCGCCATCCACGGCGTCCCGACCCGGTCACCCTCCCCCCCTCCCCCTGAGACTCCGCGACACGCTGATGTCACCCAACACACCTACCCCCACCCATCCACGGCGTTCTGGCCCGGTCACCCTCCCCCTGAGACTCCGCGACGCGCTGATGTCACCCAACACACCTACCCCCCCCCCATCCACGGCATCCCAGCCCGGTCCCCCTCCCCCCCCCCCCCGAGACTCCGCGACACGCTGATGTCACCCAACACACCTACCCCCACCATCCACGGCGTTCTGGCCCGGTCACCCTCCCCCTGAGACTCCGTGACATGCTGATGTCACCCCAACAACACTACCCCCGCCATCCACGGCGTTCCTGGCCCGGTCACCCTCCCCCTGAGACTCCGTGACACGCTGTCACCCGACACACCTACCCCCGCATCCACGGCGTCCCGACCCGGTCACCCTCCCCCCCCCCCCCAAGACTACCGCGACACGCTGATGTCACCCAACACACCTACCCCCGCCATCCACGGCGTCCCGGCCCGGTCACCCTCCCCCCCCCCCTGAGACTCCGTGACATGCTGATGTCGCCTAACACACCTACCCCCACCATCCACGGCGTTCTGGCCCGGTCACCCTCCCCCCCCCCCCCCTGAGACTCCGTGACATGCTGATGTCGCCTAACACACCTACCCCCGCCATCCACGGCATCCCCCAGAGACGCAGGCTGTCACCAGGCCGCTGGCATGCGCACCAATCAGCAACAGCGCAAGTCCAGCGGATGTGGGGCCACCCCGACGTTCCCATCCATTTCAAACATCGAGCGAGGCAATTCACATAGGTGACCTTTTACGTCCGCGAGTTACCGCTTAACACGGGTTAGGGGTCAATTGCCTCCCCCCCCAAGTTTTCCGAAATGGTTTCCGAACGGCACGGCGTAGCCGCACCACATTTTGCGTAAATGTAGGCAACCCAATAGCAGACGGTGTGGTATCATATAATCAGACGTTCCTTGTAAGGTTGCTGACCTACGGCAGGTCAAAGTCAGGTCATGGATTCAGCGGTCAATTTCTAAGGAATCGTTCAATCTGATGAAACAACGGAGTGTTAGACGAAGCCGTATATCTCTGTGATACTTTCTCTGGTAAGACAACAATTTGATGACCAAATTCCTTGACCCAGGGTCAGGTATGAAGGCCACACCAAGTCAAACCCAGCCTGTTTTATTGCTCTAGGGCTTGCTGTAAGGGGTGGTTTCTGGCCATCATTACGAATTTTTATAGCGGGAACCGCATTAGACATCTTCCATGAACTATTTATAGCTCAGAATAGGTCGCTGACCTAGAATGACTCAGATCAGCATTTCGTTTTTAGGAACATACTACCTACCTTAATATTTGTCGCTTACTCAAATGCTAAACTCAAAGCAGTCTTCTATAATTTTGGTCACTACGACCTTCGAAAGGTCAAACAAAGTCACGGACCTTGAACGAGCATGCGATCTTTCTCTCAGAACAGGTATCTAGGCTCTGGGGACACTCTGAAGACCAACTTGAGTTTTGACCTTGTTTGACCTTATTTAACCCGAAGGTCACGACCTAGGAACCTTAAACTTCGACCTAAGTAAGTTAACGTCCAAGCCAACAAACCCTGTGAACTTGGCGTCTCAAGCTCTCTTAGTTCCTGAGATCTCAAGGGGGTCAGATTGACCATCACCCGATCGAAAAGTAGCCAACCGGCCGCCAGGGCGCGTGTTAAAACTGAAATGATGACACGAGCCACAAATGACACGAGGGCGCCATCACATCAGAGCATTATCGGATACGTACACATATCACCTATCGAGAGCAGTCCATATATAAAGAGTCTAACCTGCACAACGTTCGGCCTGATATTCGAGGCTATTCATTCAGTGAGATATTCAGGACTATTCAATGAACTGCACACAAACAGTCGTAACGCGTGAAGTATTTTTTTGCAGTTAACAGGCCAGCCTCACGCAGAAAAAATATCCGATTTTCAACTACCGCTGCTGATCCATCTTGGACACCAATGAAGTGATACGAAGCCGTTCAGTGGTCTTGTAAGTTCCGTAAATGTTTATACGAGAGCAGAGCACAAAAACGGCAAATAACGTCAGACCAGGCCAGATGGTGTGCTGGCAATCTCGGGCCGAACATGAGTCAAACAAGTCAAATTCCGGGGCATTTAGCTGCTAGTCAACATGGAGTTTGAAAGCCAGGGTTTTATCCATAATCAGAGCAACGCCTTCAGAATGCGCCCGCACCGACGGGCTTCGCCAGCCGCGGCGAGCTGGACAGCCCTTCCTGAGCGCTGCAGGGTCACCTGGCAACGCAAGCCTCCTCGCTGCCGGCTCCCACCCGAGGCGAACCGGCTCCCGCCCGAGGCGAGCTGGCTCCCGCCCGAGGCGAACCGACTCCCGCCCGAGGCGAGCCGGCGCCCGCCCGAGGCGAGCCGGCGCCCGCCCGAGGCGAGCCGGCTCCTGTCCGAGGCGAGCCGGCTCCCGCCCGAGGCGAGCCGGCTCCCGCCCGAGGCGAGCCGGCTCCCGCCCGAGGCGAGCCGGCGCCCGCCCGAGGCGAGCCGGCTCCTGTCCGAGGCGAGCCGGCGCCCACCCGAGGCGAGCCGGCGCCCGCCCGAGGCGAGCCGGCGCCCGCCCGAGGCGAGCCGGCTCCCTCCCGAGGCGAGCCGGCGCCCGCCCGAGGCGAGCCGGCGCCCACCCGAGGCGAGCCGGCGCCCACCCGAGGCGAGCCGGCGCCCGCCCGAGGCGAGCCGGCGCCCACCCGAGGCGAGCCGGCGCCCGCCCGAGGCGAGCCGGCGCCCGCCCGAGGCGAGCCGGCGCCCGCCCGAGGCGAGCCGGCGCCCGCCCGAGGCGAGCCGGCGCCCGCCCGAGGCGAGCCGGCGCCCGCCCGAGGCGAGCCGGCGCCCACCCGAGGCGAGCCGGCGCCCGCCCGAGGCGAGCCGGCGCCACCCGAGGCGAGCCGGCGCCCGCCCGAGGCGAGCCGGCTCCTGTCCGAGGCGAGCCGGCGCCCGCCCGAGGCGAGCCGGCTCCCGCCCGAGGCGAACCGGCTCCTGTCCGAGGCGAGCCGGCGCCCACCCGAGGCGAGCCGGCGCCCGCCCGAGGCGAGCCGGCGCCCGCCCGAGGCGAGCCGGCTCCTGTCCGAGGCGAGCCGGCGCCCCACCCGAGGCGAGCCGGCGCCCCGCCCGAGGCGAGCCGGCGCCCGCCCGAGGCGAACCGGCTCCTGTCCGAGGCGAGCCGGCGCCCACCCGAGGCGAGCCGGCGCCCGCCCGAGGCGAGCCGGCGCCCGCCCGAGGCGAGGCGAGACCTACCGTCTGCGTGGGACAGGTGAGCTTGATCCAGCCCTCGTCCAGCGAGACGATGTACTCGCTGCCGTGCCGCTCCACCTCGATGCCGTTGCCTGGGGGGCCGGGCAGCGCCGTCATCAGTCGGGCGCAGCGCGCGCGGACCGGGCGGCAGACACCGGCCACGGTCAGCCGCGCTCGTCACGACAGCAGGGCACGCTGAGTGTAGGGCCAGGAGTGGGCAGACGCGTGACCAGGTCATGGACATGAGCCCCCGCATCGGATGTCTGAGGCTCGAATCCCAGATGCTCCTTTATCGGGGGATTACCGTAAATTGCGTTAAAGGATCCTCCGGGATATGACATCGCTTCTGGTTTTTCCAAGGGATCTCTAGGGATCTTGGACGCTTCTTAGACTTATGTCAAAGAATTCATTTGATTCTTCGTTTTTTGTTCTTTTATCAAGGGCTCATTCAAATTTGCAGCAAAGATTCCTCTGGGATATGACAGTACTTTTATATTTGCCAAGGAATCTTTCTGGGTCTTGGACACTTCTCAGCATTTTGTTGAAAAATTATACTGATTCATAACACTTACATCAATTTGCAAAATCATCCTTCAGTATCTTCGATCTTTAGGTGGATCCGGACACATGTCTTGCCATAGGCCACATGTTCACGAAACGGATACCCTGAACTTTGGCGCGGTAAACAAACGATGCATTACGATGAAGAGCTATCGGCGAGAGCGAGAACTTCTAAAACTGGTCAAAACAGACCTATTCAGAAATATACCGCTACGTTGTCAACACAGGGCCTCACACGGGGTTTCACCGACAAGCGGAGGCATGCGTCTACAAAAGCAGGCCCAGTCCAAAGCTAGGCATACCGACAACGTGGTGCAGAAAAACACTAAGCAGTTCAAAAGAGCTCGATACGTCTCACTAGAAGCACAATGATTCCGTCGAATACATAACAAGGTGACCATCAATCACCTTCCACGCCTCAAGCCTCCAACCCATCCGTAGCCCTGCCGGGCGTCGGACACGTCCGGAGCGGGCGCCCGCCGACTGGCGGCACGTACCGGCGAACAGGAGCAGCGGGTAGACGGGCACCATGCAGCACTCGCGGATGAAGACCCGCGACGTCTTCACCTTCTCGTTGTAGACGAGGTAGGGCGATTCGAACCGGCTCACCTTGGCATTCACTGACACTGGATGGATGAACACCTGAGAGAGGAGGTCACATGAACACCTGAGAGAGGAGGTCACATGAACACCTGTGGGAGGAGGTCACATGAACAACTGGGAGAAGGGGTCGCATGAACACCTGTGGGAGGAGGTCACATGAACAACTGGCGGAGGAGGTCACATGAACAACTGGGGAAGGAGGTCACATGAACACCTGGGGAAGGAGGTCACATGAACAACTGGGAGGAGAGGTCGCATGAACACCTGTGGGAGGAGGTCACATGAACAACTGGCGGAGGAGGTCACATGAACAGCTGGGGAAGGAGGTCACATGAACACCTGGGGAAGGAGGTCACATGAATAACTGGCGGAGGAGGTCTTATGAACACATGGGAGAGGAGGTCACATGAACACCTGGGGAAGTTCACATGAACACCCGAGGAAGGAGGTCGCATGAACACATGGGGAAAGTCACATGAACACCTGGGGGAGAAGGTCACGTGAACACATAGGGAAGGAGATCACATGAACATCTGGGGAAGGAAGTGACTTGAACACCTGGCCGAGGCCGGTTGAATACCTAGGCATAGGGGTCAGATGACCGCCAAGGTACGGAGATGGGAGAACACCAGACACTGAGGTCACATGAACACCCAGGAACAGAGGTTGGGCGAACAACTAAGAAAAAGGCCAGATGAACACCTAGGGACAGATGTCACATGGACATCTCGCAAAATGGACGCCGGGTGAACACCCAAAACAGAGGTCGGGTGAGCACCTAGAAGAGAGGTCGGGTGTACATCCAGAACAGAGGTCGGGTGAACAACTGGGACGGAGGTCGGGGCGGAGATCGCCCAAGGTGGAGATCACCTAAGGCGGAGATCGGGCGAACACTTCAAGAGCCCCAGCCCTCTAGTCCTGAAGCGTCCGGGATGTCCTGCATCACCCGAAACGTTTAGCTCCTGTTTATTGTAAACTTAACTGATACATATGAACTTTTTTACATGATGTCAAAAAAACACTAGAGAGCACGCAGGGTATGTGTACCACATCGCCAAATGCCTAATAACCGTAAGACAACTGTGGAACTGCCCAATATGGCCAGATAGCAAACGTTGGCAAACAAAGCTATGTGTTGACAATCGTAACGCGTTTGAAACCTTCGACGCCAGTCTGGCTGCAATTCGTTCCCGAACCTAGCCGCAATTTGTCCGCTACACTATCCGACACTTTACATTCATTTTTACATTCATCTTTGTTTCGGGCACTTCTCAGTCAAAACAACAACTACGACGCACTACCACGTTCATCGTCGTCGGCTAGGCCAGCCATGTCCTTTCAGACGCGCCTCAAGGCGAATCATCCCCTCTAAATCCGCCACAATCACGCCCGCCCCGTTGGACGACCTCTACAGGCCCGCCACGACTACGCCCGCCCCGCTGGGCGACCCCACAGGCCGGCCACGACCAAGCCCGCCCCGCTGGACGATCCCACAGGCCCGTCACGACCAAGCCCGCCCCGCTGGACGACCCCACAGGCCCGTCACGACCAAGCCCGCCCCGCTGGGCCACCCCACAGGCCCGTCACGACCAAGCCCGCCCCGCTGGGCGACCCCACAGGCCCGTCACGACCAAGCCCGCCCCGCTGGGCGACCCCACAGGCCCGCCCCGTTGGGCTACCCCCACAAGCCCGCCACGACCAAGCCAGCCCCACTGGACGACCCCACAGGCCCGCCACGACCAAGCCAGCCCCGCTGGGCCACCCCACTGGCCCGTCATGACCAAGCCCGCCCCGCTGGGCCACCCCGCAGGCCCGCCCCGCTGGGCGACCCCACAGGCCCGTCACGACCAAGCCCGCCCCGCTGGGCGACCCCAGAGGCCGGCCACGACCAAGCCCGCCCCGCTGGGCGACCCCACAGGCCCGCCACGACCAAGCCCGCCCCGCTGGGCCACCCCACAGGCCCGCCACGACCAAGCCCGCCCCGCTGGGCGACTCCACAGGCCCCAGCCAGTCTGCCGGCCCCGCCGCTGCCGCCTGGAGGGGCGTCAGAAGGGCGCGTCTCGGCCACGTCTCGAGCGGGACCTCGGCGCCGACTCACATAACCGTCCTCCTTGGTCTTGAACTTGAGCTCGGCGTGTTTGGTGTCCTTGGCCATGACGCCGCCCTCGCTCTTGGTGTAGGTGGCCTCGGGCGTCAGCACCTTGACCAGGTTGGGGTACAGGGCCGCGCAGAGCAGCGCCGACAGCAGGCGGTTGCTCTCGTTGTCGTTCAGCTGCGCCACGTCAGGTGACGGGTGTCAGTTTGTAGAGAACACGTCTTCGGTGTCAGGCACTGTGACCGATGCGTGAGCGACTCCGATCACCCCTCCCCCCTCCCCGATCGATTTTGCACTGATGACACTATGTGGTGGCAACCGTGACAGTAACAAGGGACGGGACAAACGCACGCATTAGGCCCGTGTGGCATTGAACACAATCAGCATAAAACAGGGGTGGATTGTGGCGCAGCCCATCCTGGCAAGAACCCTGGCGCCTTGCAAGCGCCGGCGTCTCTCCGTCACTGCCTGAATTCTCTCGCGTCGTCTCCGGGCGGTCCCAGTCTCCACTGCCGTCTGCGGGCGGCCCCAGTCTCCCTGCCGTCTCCGGGCAGCCCCAGTCTCCCTGGCGTCTCCGGGCAGCCCCAGTCTCCCTGCCGTCTCCGGGCGGTCCCAGTCTCCCCTGCCGTCTCCGAGCAGCCCCAGTCTCCCTGCCGTCTCCGGGCAGCCCCAGTCTCCACTGCCGTCTCCGGGCAGCCCCAGTCTCCCTGCCGTCTCCGGGCAGCCCCAGTCTCCACTGCCGTCTCCGGGCAGCCCCAGTCTCCACTGCCGTCTCCGGGCAGCCCCAGTCTCCCTGCCGTCTCCGGGCAGCCCCAGTCTCCCTGCCGTCTCCGGGCAGCCCCAGTCTCCCTGCCGTCTCCGGGCAGCCCCAGTCTCCCTGCCGTCTCCGGGCAGCCCCAGTCTCCCTGCCGTCTCCGGGCAGCCCCAGTCTCCACTGCCGTCTCCGGGCAGCCCCAGTCTCCACTGCCGTCTCCGGGCAGCCCCAGTCTCCACTGCCGTCTCCGGGCAGCCCCAGTCTCCCCTGCCGTCTCCGGGCAGCCCCAGTCTCCCTGGCGTCTCCGGACGGCTCTCACCTCGGGTCCGGTGGCCTGCAGCACCCCGTCGCCGCGGCCGCGGCCGCACCGCTCCAGCTGCCGCGCCGTTAGGCCGGCTCGCACAAACCCAATGCCGCTCAGCAGCTCCACGAACTGGTGCTTCATACTGGCCAGCATCTCCAGCGTCTTCACTTGCAGGAAGTTCTCCTGTGCGAAGTTGTAGCCGGCTCCGTGTGAGCGTTCGGCCGCCTCCCGCCAGCCCTGCGGCGGACGCAAGGTCAGGTCAGGTCAGGTCAGGTCAGGTCATGTCAGGTCAGGCCAGGCCGGAGCGGGTCGGGGTAAGGTCCGGTCCAATGCATGGCACGTGCGCAAGGTAGAGCAGAGCGCTGTTGTCGCCCAATCGACATCGGTCTGGCGCACCCGGTACCCACTATGTCGGACCTACTACCCATAGCATAGTCCGCTGCACCCCTGCACCCGTTGGACCGTCCACTGTAGCCAGCACTCGTTGCCCCCAGCTTGCCACACAGGCACCGTCGTCGCCGACCGGCCGAGGCCTGCAGTACCCGGCGCCGTCGCTGCCGACCGGCCGAGGCCTGCAGTGCCCGGTCGGCACCGTCGCCGCCGGCCGGCTAAGGCCTGCAGTACCCGGCGCCGTCCCTGCCGACCGGCCGAGGCCTGCAGTGCCCGGTCGGCACCGTCGCCGCGGCCGGCCGAGGCCCGCCGTACCCGGTCGGCAACCGTCGCCGCCGGCCGGCCGAGGCCCGCCGTACCCTGTAGCCGTTGAGCATAGTGAGCTGATCGCTGTTGCCGGCGGCGAAGCGCCTGCGGCGAGCGTCGGCCTCCGGCGCGGCGCAGGATTTGACGTCGTGGATCACGCGAACGGCGCACGACCTGCGAGCGGAAGCTTGAGGCAGGCGGCGATCGTGGTGACGGCGTCCATCCAGCCACCGAAACACGGCTTCCCAGCAGCACCGCAGCTTTTGCCGATCCTGCCGACAGATAGCAGCACGGACGGACGTCAGAGGGGACGACCGGCGGTGGACGGGTGGATAGCGTCGGAGGCGGCGGCGGAGACGGCAACTAGTGACGGCCCACGAGAGGGCGGCCGAGGTGGATCACCGAAGCGGTCACGTCACAAGCCCAGACACGGGCGTCAGGGACACTGAAGAGACTGTCAACAACTCCGTCGGTCGGTCAGCGCGCGGCAGCCCTGCCAGCCCCTGCCCCGCCGGCGGCGCCAGCCCCCTTCCCCCCCCCCACACACCCTTGACTCGCCGGCGGTGCCAGCCCGCCCCCCTACACATACACCCCCAACCCGCTGGCGGTGCTAGCCCGCCCCCCTACACATACAACTCTAACCCGCTGGCGGTGCTAGCCCCCCCCCTACACATACACCCCTAACCCGCTGGCGGTGCTAGCCCCCCCCCACACACCCTTGACCCCCGGCGGCACCAGCCCCCCCCCTCACACACCCTTGACCCGCCGGCGGCACCAGCCCCCCTCCCCACACACACACACATCCCAAACACTGACCACCTTCCCCGGCTGAGCACGGACCAGTGCTACATTTTTAATCCGGCATCCTGAACTGGAGGATTACGATTCTCATAAATTGATTATATAGAAGTGAAATAAAGCTACTGAGTTCGATTTCAGACGTTTCAGCTTTAAGACATGCGATATGAAAATATAGCAACTGAAGCAACACATCAGTCTTTAGACCAGCATCACATAGAGCGCCACGTCAAAAGGTGTAAAATCTCAGCCCAAGGAAGCAGCATGCCACCTTCTCCATATGGGTCTAATCTCGCAGGGTGACACTTATTCCAAACAGAATAAGCCCTCTCACCACCGACCACGGTCCCAGCTCCTCTCTAACCACTCCCTGATAGTGGACGACCCTCCCCCCTCCCTGAGCGGACCACTGACCTGACATCAACCGGCAGGGCGGACACGTGATAGCCGAGTGCTGTCATCTGGCCCTGTTGATCTAGCGCGCCCAGCTCCTCCAGCCGACGCACGGCT